GTGTGTGTGTGTGTGTGTGTGTGTGTGTGTGTGTGTGTGTGTGTGTGTGTGTGTGTATAAGAGAGAGAGGGAGAGATGTATACCTCATGTCTGTCTGCGAGCTACTGCGTCTGTGTGCATATACTCCTTTTTCAACAGCGGCCATTTTCTGCATCATAATGACACTTTAGTGGTCCCAAACAGTGTGTGTTAGAGATAGAGAGAGATAGTTACACTGTGTAACTATTCATCTGGGGTCAATCGCAAGTTATCCTCACAGTGGATATAGTGATTTAATGCGAGGCACACACTGTGGCGTCTTCGACATCAATTCTGCATCCTCATCCCTTACGCCTTTTTCAATCAGCTTTTTTTTTTCTACCACTTCTGTACTTTTCTCATTTGTTCCTTTGTTTTCTCTCTCTCTCTCTCTCTCTCTCTCTCTCTCTCTCTCTCTCCCTCTCTCTATTTTTATCTGCTTTTTCATTATGTTAACTGTCGCCTACAAAACTTTAAAGTGTCACGCAGACACGGCGCTAACGACATCATGACAGGCTACACTTGTCGTGATTACCATCATGATGATAGTTTGATTTTATGCAGTGTTTATTGTGCACACCGGGGGCTTGTTGTGTTTTACACGGATGTAAGTGTTCTCAGGAGAACAGCACAGAGCCATCTGTCTACGCCATTTTATTGTTATTATTTTTTTTATATGTTCTCCTTTGCCTTTTGTCTCTTTTCACCTCAAACTTTTTGACCTTCTCATCCTACTCAGTGTTTCTCTTTGTTGCGTTTTACACACCGCCTTCTCGTCCATTCCTTCCCTCCTGCCTGTCTTTCTCTATCATCTTTGCATCTCACTCTCTCAGTGTCCGTCTCCAGATCCTCCCGTCCGATGCCCCCTCTGTGTTTTGGCTTCTACTTTTGTGACGGCATCTGTCAGCTGTGTGTTTACACTGGTTTGCATTAAGAACGGAGGACGTCATACTGTGACCCCCGGACCCCCGTCTGTGTGTACGTGTGCTCGCTCCACCTTCGCGCCAGTTTTATGGAGCTTTTATGATCTTTCTCCAGGAGTGCGTCGACATAATGTCATCGCGTCTTGACTTGTATTTTCATGGGAAAGTTTAGTGCCGCTGTCTGTTTCTTCTCCACTTTGCATTATTTCACCACTGTATATAGCTGCAGGGTGTTTATATGTTGCCTGTCACTTTGGAGTCGTACAAAGCTACAATTACTGTAAAGAAACTACAAAAATATGCTTGAATACGGTATTGTGTGCTTGTGTTTGCTGATGGATAGAAGAGAGGACTTGTGTCTGTGACGTTACTGCACTACGGTGGTTAAAAAAGGTGCCTATCTCATCTGTAAGGGATGAGAGACACACACCAGCACCAGAGTGCCGGAGGACATCTCCAGACATGATCGTCTAAAAGTAGTGTTGTACAATGATAGAGAGATAGAAAGTGACAGACCAATATAGAAAAATGAAATGGCACGGACAGTAAATGTTCATTATAATTTAATAAGTAAGAAGTCGTAAAACTCGAAAGCTCTTTGGTGAAATACAACATCCCTTTTCCTTTGCTGTCAAAAAGTGGGGAAGTTATTGCTGCCCTGCCCTTTTCTGGCTCTGTCCGTTCTTCTGTGTATTGCTGTCTTCAGTGGCCGTCGGCCAAACACAATTTATAGCTAGCCAACATGGGGCTGCACCCAGCCAGTTATTTAGCCTCCCAGCAAACACAACATCAACTGCAGTGGTTCATATCTCCAGCCGGTGACCCGGGTGACCTGTCGCACCGTCAGCCTGCAAGACGACCGGCTGCCAGTGAACAGCCAGTCGGCTAGCGGACCCGTTCAAGTTAGTTAACTGACACACGATTTACAATTCACACCGTCACTAAAGTCCTTTTCTTATTAACTGTCATCACACGATGATGTTAAATGGACAAAATGTATATATTTTTTCTGACAGATTATTCAAGGGGCAAAGAGGGCACCCTAGTCCCAGAAGGCCCATCACCATCATGACAAGGTTTTCAGCATTTATAATGAAGAAAAACACTTACATTATAAGCAAGGGTGGCGTCTGCTTCGTAATGATTTCATACCATAAATCACCGCACAAGAAAAGGGGGCTCTTCCTCTCGGTTTGGCATTGACTCATTGTTGTAAACAAATCCATTCTGAGTCGCTCTCAGATCCCATCGGTGCCATTATGTAAACTGGGTTGCGGTGTAGACTTTTTCTACAAACGATAACACATAAGTCCTAACCGCCAGTGTCGTGGTCATGGGTAGGGGTTGTCAGGCCAAGTCCATTTGGCTTTCTAGTCTTTGTCTGCAGTCTTTCAGTCTTTCTCTCTCAATCTAACAAGTGTCTAAATAATGCTGCTATGTTTACAGTATGAATCATCAGCAGATATACAGCTTGAGAGGAAAAACATTTGTCTACCGTCAGAGATATTGCCACTCTGTTTTGTGGTATCAATCAGTGTCTCGTGCGCATTAGGGCTTGTGGGCAACGTTGTCAAATTGACAAGAAAGACAGCTTTATTGGACATTTCTAACTTTAGCATGGATTGTTAAAAATGTCAAACAGTCAACTATTCCAAATATTAAGTTGTTTTTTGTTAAGTAAAATCTCAAAAAAAGATTCTTAGGGGGAAAAAAAAGTCTCTTAAAGTAAGGTAAATATTAGAATAGCTTAGCTTACATGTGACAGATATTCACTCTCAGCCTTGCACCGACATTAATTGTAGGCGATACATGTGTAGCCCCGCCTTAATCTTAACCCAAGGATAGAATATAAGTAAAGTGAAAGCGAGCCTAATGAAGGTCAAACCTGAT